GGGTTTCATGTGATTCTCAAATATTCATTTGTTATTGTCCAAAGCAGCATGAACCGGTTCAATTTTGTAATGGGGACACGGTGTGTTTCCAGTCAGGTAGGAGCAACATTTTTAAATGTTTAAATTAACTTCAAAGGCCCAAAGGTAGTCGTCGTGAGAAGGTTTTCTAGGCACATGTCTGATTGTTGGTGTCTTATTTGAGTAACTCTTTCACCCAGAAGATGGTGTTACATTGTTCCGAAAAGTCGGAACTACACGGCGTTATAACCAAGAAAATCTCAGTTCCGTGAGTTCGTCTAAGATGTCCGCGTTGGTTTGTCTGGATGGCACTCTGCATTGCAGCTGAGCATATTGTATCCACACGGAACATGTTCCACCCTGCGTTATGCTGAGATGCTTTTCATTTTGAATTCTTGTATCCGTCCGCGTGGCTTGCCTACCTGTGTCTTGCCTCCTACACAATAAAGCCAGTGTCTTCCCCCTTCCAGCCAGACTATTGTAGCACCCAGCATCGGTCGCCATTTTGCCTGGGGCACAGTCATTCGGTTGGGAGTGCTGCACACACACACACACACACACACAAAGTTTAGCCTTCAGCGCAGGGCCCTTGTGCTTATGTTCTGGAAAAAAAGAAACAGGTTTAAACCAAAGAGCAAAGGATAATACAAACTGAACAGCCAAGTATCTAAAATGAATAATAAATATTATAGGGCTGGGGGCTTTGTCCACAGCTTTTCCAAAAGCAGTAGTTTTTTCAAGAGGTTGTCTTCTGGGATATACACCGTGTAAGTCAATACATGGCCTTATATTCCAGGAGACAGAACCCTTCGTAACCGCCACTGTGATAACCTCAAATCCTACACCGTGCGTTTTCTTTGTTACACAAGTGAACGTCAATAAATATTGAACGAAGATAGCAGACATTTTATTAACCTTTTAAAGACTGAATTTTTTAAATAGTATATAAAAAATCCGTGTGTACCCCACAGGGAACACACGTCTCCGCTACAAAGCCAAACCGGTTAATGCTGTTTAGGGAAACAGTCGCTGTTTATTTTGAGAACCATACGAAACACACAAACACACTGTGGGCAGAATGCAGAGTTTTAGTGTGTTACAGCAGGTGGTTCATATAGTGACCACTGGGCTTTAAGGGGTTAAGAGAGGAACATAGACTGAGGAATTTTCACAACCAGGTGCTCAGGGGTATTTGTGGACCTAAGAGAGACAACATGGCAGGAGGCTGGAGAGAACGGTAAATGAGGAGCTTCATAATTTGTGTTCTTCGCCAAATATTATTACAAGGAATAAATTAAGGAAGGTGTGATACTTAAGGACATACCGTATGTGAAAATAGATAAACGCTTGAGAAGTTTATGGAGGAAAACTTGAGTGGAAGGTACCGCTGGGAAGGCCTAGCAGTTGGTGAGTCAGTTAAATGGCGAAATGTTATTACGTTAGGGCGGGTGGAGCGGAGGAGTGGAGGCAGTCCTTGCCAGTTGTGATCTAGGGACAAGTCAGCAGCCACAAAGCCAAGTGGCAGAGGAAGAAGAGAAAGAAGACTGACAACAATGTATCTTCAGGTAGAATCTAAAGGGTTCTGACGATGGTGCATAACACAAAATTACTGGGGTTTTGGACTGTTTCCATCGTCCGGAATTCTAGGTAATAGAGGACATAACGTTTCGGAAGCTGGATCTGTTTCCGTCTTCAGGTGAGAAAGGAAGACACCTATTCAGTTGGGGCCCTTAGAAAGAGCTAATCTCAATCACTGGACTGGTAAACCTAACAGGAGTTGTCCAGTGATTGAGATTAACTCTTTCAGAGGTACCCAACTGAATAGGCGTCTTCCTTTCTCACCTGAAGACGGAAACAGATCCAGTTTCCGAAACGTCGTGTCCTCTGTTACCTAGAATTCCGGACGATGGAAAAAGTAAAAAACCCCAGTAATTCTGAATGTATCTTCAGTTATTTTAAAGAGACCTATAAATTTCCTTGGATTTGGAAAGACTCTATGCTGTGGAATCCTCGAGAAAGGGAAAAGGGCAAAGTAAATTTAAATTACTTACGGCAAGGTGAAGCGGCTGGCTTCTCTGATGACAGTTAAGTGGCTCTACCCGGTCACGGTAGCCGAGCGGTCTAAGGCATGCACTGTCTTCGCTCGCTCGGAAGCCGGGATCGTGGGTTCGAATCCCACACAGGGCATGGATGTTTGTGTGCGTTTTTCTGTGTTTGTCTACAGGTAGAGGCCTTGCGACGAGCTGATCACTCGCCCAGGGAGTCCTACCGTATGTGTAAGATCTAGAAAAGGCGAAGTGAATGGAGAAGTTCATGGAGGGTAGGCCTAGGCCCACTGGGGCTGTAGTGCCAAGGAAAAAAAGTGGCTCTAAGATTCCGTAATACGGAGGAGGCATATTGCACATTGATAGTTCTTTTGGTTCCCTCTACTGTGCTGCCAACATTGTAAATGCTGTCGCACGGCGTCTGTAATCCGTTCAAAATGGGTCACATGTTTCCACATTATAGCGTCATCTTCGCCCTTATTAACCACGCCGTTGAGATGACCTGTTGATGGCATGATGTACATACTAAGCTTCATGACGATCTGTTCAGGCATTCGAATAATATTAAGGCCTTATAGGGCAGATATTTTTTCTCTGTGTTTGCAACACTTCTGTTACTATACAATAATTAAGAATATTACCTCAACAATTTTAAAGGCATCAGTGTTGGTATTACTGATGAGCGGGACTCATTATGTACGCTATTGTGATGACCTCGGTGCCCTTATACACATGACAAGTTTCATAAAGATTGGTTTGGGCATTCAAAAGTTGATTGGGGGGATACACAGAGAGTGACTGAGATTAGCACTTTCTAAGGGGCCCAACTGAGTAGGTGTCTTCCTTTCTCACGTGAAGACGGAAACATATCCAGTTTCCGAAACATCATGTCCACTAGTACGTACAGTGTCCTCTATTACCTAGAATTCCGGACGATGGAAAAAGTCCAAAACCCCAGTACTTCCGAGTATCGTTTTTTTTTTTCAAAATAAGGAAAGTAGGCTAATAAAAATATTGCAATACTTCTGTTTTAAGTTAATCATAGGATCTTTTATGTTAACATTTCTCATGTACAAATCCGTTATACCCTGTGTTTTCTCTTAATTTCTCATGTACAAATCCGTTATACCCTGTGTTTTCTCTTAACGTTTGGCGAATGAAGATTTCTCTCGTAGTTAAGCAGTCGTGTTGTAATGTCTGTTCGTAATCAGTTCTTACATTACATCCACGCTATACCGCGATTACTTACGTTTTATTTTGTTCAGATTTCCGCGAAATCTTTCAGTTGCAGCATAAGGCCAGATTCACACATAGCGTGCTGTGCACTACCTGTGCTCTGCTGCTATCATTCACATATAATGGACTGGTCGCTGACTGTGTTGTAGGTGGTTTCTGCCGAGAGAGTCTAGGTTATTATGAACCGAAGAAGCATAAGCCATGGTTCGATGAAGGATGCTCGAAATCATTAGATCAAAGAAAGCAGGCCAAACTGCAATGGTTACAGGATCCAAGAGAGTTAAATGGGGATAATCTGAACAATATAAGACCTGAAACCAACAGGTATTTCAGGAACAAAAAGAGGGAGTATCTGAAAGACAAAATTGATGAGCTTGCAATGAACAGTAAGAACAAGAACATTAGAGACCTGTATAGAGGAATAAATGACTTTAAGAGGGGTTACCACCCTAGCAGTAACTTAGTGAAGGATGAGAATGGTGATCTGTTTGCTGATTCCCACAACATTTAGAATAGGTGGAAGAACTACTTCCCTCAGTTACTGTGTCTTACTCAGTTACATAGTGTCAGTGATGTTAGGAAGACAGAAATCCATAGAGCTGAGCCATTAATACCTGATCCTAGCCCTTTTGATGTCGAAAGTGCTATTGCAAAATTGAAAAGGTATAAATCGCCAGGTAGTGATCAAATTCTGGCAGAACTTATTCAAGCAAGAGGTGAAATATTACATTCTAAGATTCACAATTTATTACTTCTATTTGGCATAAGGAAAAATTGCCTATCAGTGGAAGGAGTTTATTATTGTAACAGTTCACAAGAAAGGTGATAAAACTGACTGTAGTAATTATTGGGGGATATCACTGCTATCAACTTCATAAAAAATTGTATCCAATACTCTTCTCTCAGGGTTAAGTCCATATATAGATGAAATTATTGGGGATCGTCAGTGTGGGTTTTCACGTAACAGATCAACTACAGATAAGATGTTTTGCATTCGTCAGATATTGGAGAAAAAAATGGGAGTACGATGAGACAGTACATCAGCTATTCATAGACTTCAAGAAAGCCTATGATTCAGTTAGGAGGGAAGTATTGTACA